CAAATATATGTTGGTGGGTGTTCGGAAAAAGTAGGAAGAGGGCGTCAAACCGGGCATATGTGTCCACCCATGGGGTATGAGTTCAGCCATCTTGGGGCCAACAGGCCAAACATTGAAAAAAATTAAAACATTAAAAATAAAAGTAAAAACATGGAACTTTCAATACGTGACTTCACTTTCTTCCTCGAGAGCGTGGCAGAGCTTGCTTGGCGGCTCCGCTAGGCCAGGGTATATGGCCTTGTAAATCGGGCATTCAGGGCCCAGCAGCGATGTGTGCAGAAAAAGGTCCGCATATTCAAAAAGAAAGTGAAAAACACAAATAATTATAGGAAAAACAGTGTCAACGTATTCTATGGCTGCATAACACGTGTTTCCCCTTTGGAATGGTAAGAAGCCAGGGGTACACATTTTTTGTTAGAAGAGAGTCAGCGGTACTTACAGGTATGCCGGTGAGTTCTCTGGACAGTGTCTCAGCCGAAGAGTCCGAATCACCGTGTAGGCCCCGGGACACCAAGGGTCGGGGTCCGGTGAACGTTGGTATGCAGAAACACAACTGGGGCAGCTGAAACAATGTCGGGGTTCTCCCGCTCTTAGCGAAAATAGGTGCCAAGATCATGGTGAATCCGTAGGGGTCATCGGAAGGCGAATCAAGGCCTTTCTAGCCGGGGTGGTGGGGCGGGGAGAGCGGTGGCCTTCAGTGGATGATGTTGTGCTCGCCATGCGATCCAGATATGAGAGCGCTGTGGCGGGATCCTGGAACAAGTGTTGTACTCCATCTCAAGATTGGAATCGAAGATTAGCCGGGTAAGCGAGTGTAAAGCAGATCTTCTGCTGGTATAGAAGTGAGCAGACCTTGCCGAATGCCTTCCATTTTTTCGTAACTTCGTAATCCGCTAAGATGAGAAGGCAGTTTTCTTCCAGGTGTAGCTCCTTCTTAGCACGATAGGTTTGAAGAACTGCTAGACGGTCATTGTAATCTAGGAAACGCACAATGACCGGTCTAGTCGTTTTGCGTTGGGTGGTAAGGGGGCCCACTCGATGCGCCCACTCGACCTTGCAGGGAGGCCTAGTAGATCTGGAATATTGTGTGCGCAAATGGTTGGCAGCATTGAGGGGCGGTATGACTCCGGAAGGCCGACGATCCTCAAGTTATTTCGCCTTGACCGGTTTTCAAGGTAGTCAACCCGGTCCATGAGGTATTGTATCTGACGTTGTGCCGAGGTGAGTTGGGAGGAGGATGACTTGGTGCCCTCTTCCAGCTGCACAATGCGATGTTCAACCTCGGTTATTTGGGCCTGATTCAGAAGGTCGTGTCTCAGGGATTGTATGCCCTTTGAGACCGCTTTGTGTACTGCGTCCTGAATGGTGGGCCGTAATAGTTTAGCTACTTCGGCTGCGATCAGGCCATGTTCGGAAGATGCAGGCACTTCCTCATCAGATGAGGCACTGAAGCCCGGGCGATCAGTTATTGCAGCCATCTTTGAGGCGGATTGTGGCCTCTTGCTGCGGGTCGGGGTGCCTCTACCTCGAGGCCCGTTGCGTCGTTTCGCCAGGAATGTATCCATTTAAGTAGGCGAGGGTGATGCCAATACCGGCACGATCCACAGTGTGTTGTCAGCATGCTGGTGTATGATTTTTATATATGATATAGCCCTGGCCGTGCGGGAGCTCTGTTCTCTGCGACCACTACATCAGGCGCCAGAAACGGAAGTCACACTTCCCTATTTATAATGGTCTGGCCCTCTAGCAACTTCAGCGCAAAATTATAGCTAATTTGCCTACAAATGTCAGGTGGTCATAATAATCTGGCCACTCTGTATATCAAACAATCTTAATGGATTGCATAATGGTACATAAAACCTCTAATGTAAAAAAGAACCATACAAACGGTTAAAGCAGAATGCTACAAAGGAACAATAGCTTAGACATATAGAGGATGGTGTGGGAAATGTTTTATTATAACTTATAAACATAGTGTGGGAAATGTTTATTGTATGTATACCCTATATGGTAAATGGAGAACACCAAAAGAATATCTGTAAAGCTCTGTATCAAACAAACTTATTAGCTAGCATGGTGGTGCATAAACCTAATGAACTAAGAAAAGTTGTGGGGATGAATCTAAAAAAATAAATAAACCATCTAAAAACACTATAATAATTATATGCAATTGCACCAATTAATCATTCCTTAGAAAAAAGTTCAAATCCAGTTCGATATTCAAACCTCTTGGGACCATAGTGTCTAACAGATAAATCTACTTGGTTTGTCTTTGAGAGATTTCTCTTTTTAAAGTATTCCCTCAACAGTATTTTATAGCTCTATCAACTCCACAACATTTTAGACCCGCTGGGTCCTTGTTGTGATACAGTTTAAAATGTTTGGATACACCATGTTCAGTGAACCCATTTGTAATATTTATTATGTTACTGTATCCGAATCTTAAGCTGTCTCATGGTCCTCCCCACGTATTGTTGCCCACACAGGCATTCACGCAAGTATGTGACATGCATTGTTCCACAGGAAATAAATTCCTTTATATTAAACCTCTTATTTGTAATGGACTGGAATTGAGTTGTTATACTTTTTTGTTTTTTTGTTAAGCGGCATCCTATACATCTCCCACATGGATAAAATCCTATTCCATTAAACAATGTCAATGGTTTTTTTGGGGGGGTTCTATAACATGTACACCAATTTATCATTTAATGTAGGGGCTCATCTATGAAAGACATTCGGTTTGGTTGGTAAGATGGGTCCTAGTACTTTGTCCTTCATTAAAATTAGGGATGTCCCGATGCCACTTTTTCAGGGCCAAGTACAAGTACTTCCCCTCATGTACTTGCCTATACCAATTACCGATACTTTTTCTTAAAGGGACAGGTGACTTTAAATGATCCATAGTACAACTACATGTTCTGTACTATGGATCATGATTTAACCTATTCATGTTAGCAGCGGAGAATTGTAACTCTATTGCTGGAGTGTAGTGGAGGTATGTGCTTGTATATATGTACTACATATATACATTACACACGTCCAGTACACTATAGCAATAGATTTACAGCCAGCCCCGTCCCAGCTTCCCTCACTCAGTTTCACTCCGATCCCTGTTGTCTCACGCGGTGCCTCTCGATAGTCGGCGCTGGGCAGGATCGCTGCATGGCATCTCGGTGCTCAGCTTGTGGGAGGCGCTCACAATTCTGCCCTGCTAACATGAATGGGTTAAATCATGATCCGCAGTACATATGTCCCGTACACTGCAGTAATAGAATTACAATTCTCCCCTGCTATCATGCATAGGTAAAATCATGATCCATAGTACATAACATGTAGTTGTACTATGGATCATTTAACCCATTCATGTTAGCAAGGGATCATTGTAAATCTAATGCTGCAATGTACGGGACATTTGTGCTGTATATGTACAGTACATATAGATATACAATTCTGCACTGCTAACATGAATGGGTTAAATGATCCCTAGTACAGGGCTACATATAGATCATTTAATCCATTCATGTTAGCAGAGTATAATTGTAAATGTATTGTCTGCACTGTATGAACAGTGTGTACTCCATATGTACTCTATATGTAGTACATATAGAGTATATACTGCTAATACATCTAATAAAGTGTAGAGAATACATTTACAATTAGCATAATAGTGTGTGTGTGTGTGTCTCCCCCCTGCCCTCACTCACTGTGCCGGAGAGAGCAGCGACGAGTCAGCGCTGGTCCAGTGGGAGGAGCTCCAGATGGGGTCCTAATTTAGCTGGCTCAGTGGTGCCAGCCAACTAAATTAGAATCCCACCTGTAGCTCCTCTCGCTGGACCAGCAAAATGCCCTGTATCGGGCCCGATTCCGATGCTAGCATCGGTATCGGGGACATCCCTAATTAAAATATTCCAATGTTTAACCTTAATATTTAATTCTTTATAGTGAATTGAATAATCGGTAACAAAAGTAATAGTGTGATCCTTATTATTTCACCTCTATTAGTTTTACCTATTTTTCTTCTTGTTCTATCCTTCTATAACTTGTTATATCCCTTTTCCAAGAAACGGTTTGCAATATCGTTAGCCTGTATCTCAGTCTTTATCTAATGTACAGTTACGTCTAACTCTAGTTAATTGTCCCTTGGGTATTCCAGTAATCCAATTACCATGATGGCAGCTGTTTGTGGGTATATAAATATTACAATCTGTTTTTTTTAAAACTCTTTATAAAGGATGAACACAGGAGACATGCCATAGCAGTGAAACAACGCGAACCAGGCACAGCTAGTATAGTGGTCCAATAGGCCAATGAGAGAATTACCAGAGAAGTATACAAAGGGCTGTAGAATGGCACATCATAAACTTCCAATGATTACAAAATAAAAGACAATATGAAAATGCAACAAACGGGAAGCTTTTCAGGGCATGTCTTGGGGTCAACCCAGATTTTCTGGGAAAGATATAAAAAAAAAGGGAGGGGATCCTCAAAGGGGGGAGCAGGAGCAGTATGATCTGTTGTTTTAAATAATTTTTTTGTACATATTTTCCCTTGTTTTAGAAACATGTACAGATCCAAAAATCAGATAAAAATCATTTTTTTTTTTAAAAGCATCCTCGCTTTACAATATTTTTTTTTTTAACAAGTGCCTAAAACCTTGCTCAGTAATATATATTTTGCCGTTAATGTACATGGACAGTGTGAAACTTGTTTTTTGTATTAATGTTTATCTGACAAACTTTGTAGTGTTTTTAATTTATTTTAGTCTGCATGAAAATATGAATTAATTTCCTTTTCTAGGTGCTAAATACTTTTTTTTTTAACCAGGGATCACACCAGATCATCTGGTGGTAACCCAGGCAAACATGAGTAGAAATTTCATATGCATATGGTATATTTTTAATAAACACCCAGTGCACAAGGCAAAGTGGTTAGTGAGCACTTTAGTGAGCACTTTATTTAGCCATGTTTCTTTTGAGTGATTTATTTTTGTTTTGTTTTAGATGTCTCCATGAGTGGCAACCTCACACTGGAAGACCTGTGTCTTGCTTGCTGTTCTGTGACAACCACAAGAAACAAGACCCAGAGTAAGAAGTTTTTCCTTTTTTTTTTTGGTGTAGTAAGGAAAATGCATGTGGAAAATAGTGACTCTTTCACTTTCAGGGGGAAAAAAAGAAGCTTCTGCCAGATATAAATTGTGTTTACCTAGGTGGACCTATCCATGCAGCAGCTTTCAGGCCACTTAGTCCACTCACAATCCCTGTCACTCTGATCAGGCAAAGCGTCAGTACTTACTGGTTGGGTAAAAATGTCCGACAAACTCCCACACATCCCTTTCTGCAGGTGAGGCAGCCCATTGTCTTAAAGGACATTTCCACCTTTGTAAGTGATTGTGAGTTTTTTTGGTGTAATGGGGAGGTGCAGGGGGATGTACATGTGTATGCATTCTCAGGAGTCATAGGGCTGTTTTTCATACTTTATTTTATAGACTCTTTCACAGGCCAGAGACCTAGAAGTTCAAAATTCCCTCCACAAGATCTTCAATCCATCTCTCAGAGGGTGGGGTTGTTATCTCTAAACTGCAACCAGCTGATCCCCCTAAATGGAAACAAGGGATAAACACAGATTGGTTAACTCAAAGTGCAGCTATTAAAGAGGGTCGGAGAGTCAAATTTAGTACAAAATTAGTTTAATTGGTTAAAAATTAATGAACAATATTATTGCACCACTTCAAACTACACCCATGATAAATCTAAAAAAATTTTTTTGGGTTATTGCAACAACCCTTTCACTCTAAACAAACATTCACTCTGTGGACAAGCTGATGTAATTCTTTAATGCCGGATAATCCTGAAAGGAGACAGCGCTCCAACTTAGATTGTAGTTTAAGTATGACTCGGTGGATTTCTCTTTTTAGCCACTTGGGACCTGATTTGGGTCTCCTCAGTAAATCTGAGGAGGTTCAGTTTTCTCAGGCTGGTATTGTGGCCGATCAAATGACACACATGTAGCTTTTACTCCCTATTTAGAGCTGTCAACATTTGGGATGGAACGCTTGATTGAAGAGAAAATCCTAATAATTCTGGGACTTAAATTGTGGACCGGTGAATCATGGAGTTATGGTGTCACCCTGAGTTATAAACACACATGGAAGAAAAGATCAACCATATAGTGTGTAATGTCTCGAATATGTCTGTACTCACGGGTGCTTGACTCCTTCACCGGACAGTCCGATTCAGAATAAAATATCTCTGTAACACGCTCCTCCTATGAATCCTCTTCAGTGTTGATTAGGTAGCTCTCTTGAAGGGAAAGGAACAAGATGGTTCCTATGTGGTTTCTTGATATGCAAGATGATGTTACAGGGTCCCAGGTGGCTTTGAATTGGTCAATGAAAAGTTATTTGTAAAGAGCTGTTTTTGTAGTCCAATGACCGGAAAAATAGAGACCTGACATGCAGGTAATCAGTTAGCTTAGTGTCCACAGTCGGATGGCGCGTTTCGCCCCTCCTTTGTTCTCAGGGCTTCGTCAGATCCGATTGCTACAACCAATACACAAACCTTGCAACAATGTAGGAAGCTTGCTATAGAGAATATCTGTAAAAAATAAGTCAAGGCAACTGGACTTGCTGTATTTTACTTAAAGATGTTTCACTAGTCATCCAACCAGCTTTAAGTATGTATAGGTCCCTGTGTGTTTTCATTCTTAAAAGTACTTGTACTCCTGTATATTACGGTCCCTGAGGAAATCGTCCAATCGCCTCTTGAATGATTCCACACTCTCAGCCGAAATAACAGCATGTGGCAGCAAGTTCCAGACCCTGACTGATCTAACTGAGAAGAAACCGCTTCACCCCTTGTGCTGAATTTTTTTTCTCCACCAATTTTAGGTGGTGGCCTCTTGTCCTTGTCATGGAGTTAATTGTAAAGGGTTTGCTGCTAATGTTGCTATCCCCGGTAAACATTTTGTACATGAAAATCATATCCCCCCTTAATCTCCTTCCTTCCAATGAGAACATGTTTAAATTTATAACCTGTTCTCATAACTGAGGTCCTCCATCCCCTTTGAGTTTGGTCACCCTCCTCTGGACTCTTTCCAGTTCAAGGACATCCTTTCTGTTCACTGGTGCCCAAAACTGGACCACATACTCCAGATGAGGCCGAACCAGTGATCTATAAAGTGGCACAATTATAGACTTGTCCCTGCAAATCATTCCCCTTTTAATACAGGACAGGACCCTACTTGCTTTGTTTACCGCAGCCTGACATTGCGAGCTGTTGTTCAGCCTGTGGTCTACAATGATCTCCTAATCTATTTCCCTTTTGGACTTCCCCAGCGGAGCTCCCATTAGTGTGTAATTCACTTTTATTTTTAACCCCAAAGTGCACAACTTTACATTTATCTACATTAAACTTCATCTGCCATGTAGTTGCCCACTCCCCTATTTTATACAGATCCTCCTGTAATGTTATATTGTCTGATTCAGTGTCTGTTAACCTCCCGATTTTGGTATCATCAGCAAACACTGAAACGGCTGTTTACCCCCTCCCCAGTATAGTTAATGAATAGGTTAAACAGCAAGGGGCCCAGTACAGAACCCTGTGGCACGCCGCTCATGACCCTAGCCCAACCTGAGAAGGAGCCATTTATCGATACTCTTTGTACCCATTCCAGTAGCCAGTTTTCTATCCATGTACACACTATTTTGTCTATGCCCATCGACCTCAGCTTGTGTAGTAAACGTGTATGTGGTACCGTGTCAAATGCTTTAGCAAAGTCCAAATATACCACATCCACTGGCCTCCCTCCATCCAGATCTCTGCTTACCCCTTCGTAAAAAGTTAGCAGGTTAGTCTGATAGGAACGGTCTTTCCTAAATCCATGCTGGTGGTCATTTACTATGCCATTATCCCGAACAAATTCTACTAAGTGGTCCTTAATCATGCCCTCTAACACTTTACAAACTACCGATGTAAGGCTAACAGGTCTGTAGTTCCCCGGATTGCATCTTGACCCTTTTTTGAATATTGGAACTACCGTAGCCCTCCGCCAGTCGCTTGGCACTCTGCCAGTCATTAAGGATTAACCATACCATAAATGTTTTTACACAATTTTGACTCAAGTCTTACACCCTTTCCTAAGTGGATTCCATTGGAGAAAAGTATGACACCTGTATGAAGGACTTTATAACTAGACCCCATGCAACCAAATACGCATCCCTTATTTCAGGTATAAGCAGTGTGATCCCTTTGACATGAATTTTGAAAAAGAAGCCCTTTGGACCTTCTGTCGGCGCTATGCTATACTGCTAGAGTATGCTGATAACATAAACCATAGGAATTTCTTTTTACAAATGCTGAAAAATTGTGTACTTAAAACTAATCACAAAGCATTATTGTATAATTTTGTCATTGCAGAGTGCCGTTTTGGAGGTTTTTAATCACAGGAGCTGATCAGAACAGAGAGCTCAAGATGTGGTGCACTGTTTCATGGACTTGTCTTCAGACTGTATGGTGAGACACACTTGCCAGTTGTTATAGCATATAGAGACTGTTTCAGTTTAAAGGGTTTACCTTTAATGGTAAAAGGAGACATCTATTGAAAAAAAAAAGTTATTTATGGAACTATATTGTTTGCCTTTTACAGCTCTCAGACCGAACCCTAAAAGAGATAGACCTGTACCACCCAGGAAGAACAAGTTAGGGAGGTCAATATGCCCCTTGCCAACATATTTTATTGGTGTGTTTTTAGTGTCCGAGGCTAGATTAGCAGGTCTTACTCACTCCCCCTTTTTCTCTTTCATTCTTTGAAGAACACGGTGGGGATCTTCAGATCTAGGGTTATATAATGCCACCTTCAGGAGTAGGACGCTAGGCACAACACAAAAGCTTAGCCTAGGGGCGGCCCCTGATGGTGGCCAAACCCCTTAACAGCTAGATAGAGCTTAATTTTTTGCCTAGTGTCAAGCAATTAGGACCTTAGCTCCCTGCTGGGAACGTTTAATTTTCTTTTCGTGCAGGGATTTTTTTTCTTTATTCCTCATCTATCTTCGAGACCTTCAATCAACAACTGAGCTGGGCGACTAGCTGGATGATATAGATCCTTGTAGTTTCCCCAGCTCAGCCAGCGAGTGCACGCGGATCCTTAGCTATGTGCAAGGTCGGCTCCGACAGCCCTTCCTGGATGGGGCAGCCTGTGAGTGTTCCTCGACGGGGGCGCTTATGACCGAGTGACTTGTTGCTCTGTCAGTGCGCCTCAAGGCGGACAGCACCCCACCTGTGGCAGGAGGCGGCCTGTCCTGGGAGATGGTACCCTCCCGAATCCTGGGAATTTTGAGTACATTGACCTCCCCTCCCTTCCCCTACGGGGATGGCTGTGGTGGTCTTGGGGTATCCTCTTTCCCCGTATCCTGTTCGTTGGTTGTTGTACCTGGGCACTCCCTATCACTTTATTGCCTCTAGGGGACATTGTGTCAGGGGTATTATTGGCCTCTTCGGAGGCAGTGGTCGAGTGGTTTTCACGGCTCCACGTGGTTGCCTGTTACTGGCAGCACGATTTACTTGGCTGCTGTGGGATCATGGTGAATGTGGTTTCTCGACTGCCGCCCTGAGGGACACGGGCTGCTGCGGCTTCAGGTGTCTGTGATGCTCTTGGCGCCAGTCCTGTGGGTCACCGCGGATGCCGAGTAAGATGGGGTAGGGCAACACTTAAATTGAGCTGAGGCCAAGTCCATAGCCGCTTCGAAGTCTCAAAGCCGCTGGGAGCGTTCCTTCTTGCACCTACTAGCAATATGAATAATATTATTTATTATACAGGATTTATATAGCGCCAACAGTTTGCACAGCGCTTTACAATATAGGGAAGACATTATAAATCAAGACAAGATGGTAAGGAGGGCCCTGCCCCTGAGGGCTTACAATCTAAAAGGGAGGGGCAAGTGATACACTAGGAGGTAGCTGTGTGGGGATGAATAAACCAAAAAAGACAGAAGTGAGGGCGCAAAGCTAAGGAGGGTTATCTAGCTGGGCTGAACGTTGCAAGAGGAACGGCAAAATGAAATAGTGTACTTACTAGAGTGGGTCCGAGGATCGGGTGAGGACCGGTCTGTGGGAGGATCGTGAAGTCCAAGATATGTGTTCTCAATGGAGGCTGGTGTACTGCCTGAGACTACTCATCTCGAGAAGGTGAGAGACGGAGGGTTGGGCGGCACAAAGATTTTGTCCGTATCCCCGCTGCCGTGATGTGAAGTTCCGGCAGTGTACACGGGTAGTGTCTGACTAGGCTGCTGTGGCTGCAGCTGTGGGTAGTGCGGCTGAGTCTATGTGTGGACGGGGCATTAATTGTGTGATGGGTCGAAGTCAGCCAGGAAGCTGACAAGGTGATGGGTGATCAAGTCAGTGTAGTCAAGGTGGAGGGTCGGGAGCAACGCGTTTCAAGGTTAAGACCTCTTTCTCAAGCTCAACAGGAATGGTATAGCGGCGGCGGGAATCCGCCGGTTTAAATGTGACAGCTGGGCGGGGTTTGGAAGCAATGGGCGGTAAAGACGCGATTTGAAGCTATTTGGCCTCGATGTGTATTTGCAAGTTGCGTGTGTACTTTGTACATAAATTCGTAAGGAAGGAGTATAGGGAAACAAAAAATGATGATATTAGAACAAAACATGGGCATCTGAGCCGTGGGTGGATCTTTTTAAAAGGCATTGTGATTGACATGAGATACGATCTATTTGGAAAAGGAAGTAAATATGAGTGGGTAGAACAATAATTCTTTTTTAGACATAGGCCACTCACACCCACCCAAACTAAAAAGAAAACTACCAGAAGAGGTAACAGAGCAAGAAAACTGGTCCAAAAAAGGAAAAACAACAAATTAGAACCTTCAACAATCAAAATTTTCAACTTATCTAACCACACCCTCAGCTCACACGAGACATCGCTACTACAAAAAGGCCTGAATTTCGCCGCCACCACCAAACCTAATCCCTTCACTCTGTTTGTAGACCTCAACCGGTTCATTCGCAAACTAACCCTCAAAAGACACTATAGAAATAAAAAACCAAACCCACAAGCTATGCCCACCCCTTCAGTGTCTCAATACATCCAGCAACACTATCCCCATGGAGGCCCTCTGTCTAACATACATGATTAGAGGGCCGCATCTGCCTGCTCCAGCCAGCCCGGATCGCCCCAGTATACCCTTGAGAAGCGAGCGGCTGCGCGATTAGAGAGCCGCATCTGTAGCGGTGCAGGTGGCAGAGAGGCGGTGGAGGGAGCCACTGCACCTGCGGCCGGGGGCTTCATTTAGCGCAGGGGGTTCAGTGACGGGATATGCTGCGGGCAAACTGGCCGGTGTGGCCACAGGAGAGCCCTCACTACCAACCACAGCCCCCACTGACCACTGATATATATAATTATATATTATATTGCCGCCCACACAGTACTGGTGACCCTGCTTTATAGGACCTAAGCAAATTTTCCACGTGTTTTTCATAATCATCTGCTTTGCTGTTCCCGATAAATTCCGTTGCCATGGACTTGAAGGCTTCCCATGCCTTCTTTTTCTTGCCGCACAACAGACTATCAAACTTGTCATCTCGGAGAAGTTCTCGAATCTGTTGTCCGACAAAGAGGCCTTCATTGATTTTGGCTTCACTAAGTCTTGGAAACTTTTCATAGAGATATTGGAAAACTGGTTTTGTCTATAGCCTTACAAAGTTCTTCATCAGCCCCAGCTTTATATGCAACGGTGGTAACCAAATTTTCTGACAGTCATCAAGAGCTGGATTTTGAACATTGTTCTTTCCTGGCTCCCAGGACTGTCATGATGGCCAGTCTTTCTTGACATAATGAGAATCTCTGGCTCAACTGTCCCATTCACAGAGGAAACAGCAGTGCTTTGTGTATCCACCCTGCAGGCCAAGCAACTTTCAAATCACCACAGAGCTGCCACTAATGTTCCTCATACTTTATACACCTCAGCAGCTGTTTCATGTTTTCGTATGTCTCTTTCATGTGGACTGCATGCCCAACAGGAAAGGATGGGACAACAGCTTTTAGACTCTTTTTAGATGATTCTATGAACATTCTCCATTCATCTAGATTGTGGGTAATGTTAAGGGCCATCATTGACCCATCAATATCATTGCAATAAACCAAATCACTTTCCACTAAGAAATACTGAACCAGATCTTTTTGGCGATCACGGAAAATGGAGATCCTGACATCACTCTGCAAGAGATTCCACTGTTGTAATCTGGAGCCCAGTAGCTCTGCCTTACTCTTAAGCAATTCCAAATCCCTGACCAGGTCATTTAGTTCACTCTGTGAAGTTAGATGTGGTTCAGGAGGATCATACGGTGGGCTAAAGCAGCTGCATCCTGCTCATTGTCTTTATCATCATCTGAGTCTAGAGAGTAGGATTCTGGTGGATCTGGAATAGCCAAGTCCTCACCATGGGGTACAGGACACAGTGCGGATGGAATGTTTGGATATTCCATGCTCCACTTGTTCTTTCTTGAGATCCCTTTTGCAATTGTGGGAACCATGCAAAAATGGCAGTCACTACTATGTTTGGTGGGTTCCCTCAACACCATTGGGACTGCGGAAGTCATGGACTTTTCTTCTTGTTTAGCCAATGACACAGATAAGTTGCACAAATTGTAATGCAACAATAATGAGGTGCCCAACTCTTGTCCTGATCCCCTATTTTGCAACCAAAATATAGGTGGTATGCCTTTTTTACCACTGCCATCATACTGCACTTTTGAGATGCAAATGTAACCTCAGCACAAATGTAGCAGAAGTTATCTGCGTCGTTTACACAGTTTTGAGACATCTTGGCTTCTGAGGGAAAAATATCACAAAACTGTTCCTTGGAAATGTTAGGCAAGGACACTTTCACAAGCCACCAGATGTAACTGTATGATGTGTAGATCTGACCAAGTCAAATGTACCTTGCAGTAATAGAACAATGAATTACAGTTAGGTAATAATCTTTAGTCTCAAAGTAAAGATACATTTATACACTTCCATGTGGTACCATTTTCATTGTTCTTCCGTACTTTGTCGAGAAGTTAAGTGGCATCATGATCATCGGACACCTCCCTCCCTCCCTCCCTTGTAGGCAAATATACTCGCCTGTGTATAAATCTTTATTGTGAAATATCTTGAAAACCTAGCCAGCCAGCACCTTTATCACCTGTTTTTCTAATTCATCTAATCAAAAAATGTAAGAATTAACACATTTTATCTCGGAGGTCGATAATGTATCAAAATATGTAGACCAGTGTATTCAGTGGTGGCATTGTGGAAGTCAGAGAGGACAACTGGGCATGAAAATAGAGATTTTGTTTTAGGGGCCAAGGTGTCGGTCCAGAACAAGCTAATCAAGAAGTCAATCTGACATCAACAAGCTCATGGACCGTCCAAGGAGCTGAACCTATATCTGCTGTATCAACTTGTGGAAGAGAGCACCTGAAGGTAAGCATATGGTCTATTCTGGAGTGGGAACTGTG